TCCTTGCTTTGCAGCTACTTGTTTTTTTCTTCCCTTTTATAAGCTTCTTCGGGGCAAGAATTATGATAATGGTACCTTTCCTGTATGTAATATGTGCTCAGATAAAAAGAAAACAAAATGAAACAAAAGAAAAAGCATCATATCTAAGTTGGATGAACTACCATATTGGTAGTTTTGTGTCCCTACATTCCTTCCTGACATTGTTGCAGCATTTGAAACATGGATGCTTCCCTTCTTGTTTAAATGCTTCTTACTTAGGTGAGAAATTCCAGCCTCCTTTAACTCAGTGATTTTCTCCCTAAATCTTTAAGTAAAAAATGTAGCTTTGCCCCAGGACATACTTATTTTCTAAATAGAGAGAGCCAAATCCATCCAACTTGTTAGAAACACAAATAGAGAGAGAGAGGGAGCAAGTCATGTGTGAAGGGTAGCAGGGCAGATATGTCACAGAGTGGTTAAGAAGAAGAAGCAACAGAGTTGGTCCTCAGGGTTGGAGTGGAATCAAGGCAGCAAATATGCTATATATGGGAGACAAATCACCTAAAGATCTGTACTGCCTGAGATAGTGTTGGGTAGATTTTAGCCCCTTTAGGTTTGATTTACTAATTCAACTAACATTTGTTAAGCATTGACTATGAGAAAGGCACACACAGTTTCTAAATTTGTGGGGGAGAAAACAAATGAAATTGCGTCCACTTTTCTGAAGTTTGCTTCCTCAATCTGTATGTGTTATTTTTCTTTTTACTGTCTTCATTTTTGTTTCATTTAAAAAATTTTAAGTCAAGTTTGTTGATGAATAATTTTCAGTAAAAAACTTCTATTTTTATTGTAAAGTTCCATTTATTTATTTTTAAATGTTATCACAGTTTATTTTAAATCTTTTTTTTCTGTTTTATTTATTTCCTTATTTATTTATTTGAGGATATAATGAGGGTACAAAGATTTTGGTTACATGTTATGACTTTGCCACACCCAAACCATGATTTGAGGTGTGCCTTCTCCCTCCAATGCTCACCGCGTCCATTAGCTATGAGTTTACTCACCCCCAAACCCCAGACCCTGAAGAATATTACTACCAGGTGAGCACCACAGTGTTGGTGAGTTAGTGTCAATTTCATGGTGAGTACATGTGGTGCCTATTCTTCCATTCTTGTGATACCTCACTTTGGAGGATGGGCTCAAGCTCTATCCAGGAAAATATAAGAGGTGCTAGATCACTGTCATTTCTCACAATTGAGTAATATTCCATTGTATACATACACCAATTTTATTAATCCATTCATGAATTGATAGGGTTCCATTTATTTTGACAAACATATAAGCACACATCAAAAGTCCACAATCAAAATATAGAGTTCCATAACCCTTTATACCCATTTGCAGTCAAACTCTGAATATGCCAAAGTGAAGCTGCAAAGTGCTTCCTTTACATGAAAAGGTGAAAGTTCTTTATTTAATAAGGAAAGAAAAAAATGTACACTGAGGTTGCTAAGATCTTCAGTAAGAATGAATTTTCTATGCATAGAATTGTGAAGAAGAAAAGTCATGCTTGTTTTGCTGTTGCAACTCAAACTGCAAAAATTATGGTCACAGCTCATGATCCCTGCTTAGTTAAGATGGAAAAGGCATTAAATTTTGGGGTGGAAGACATGAACAGAAACGTGTTCCAATTGATAGTAAGTCGGTTTGGCACTGTCTTTGGTTTCAGGCACTCACTTGGGGTCTTGGAACATATCTACCGTAGAAAAGGGCAAACTGCAGTATTTTATATATTGGCAAAAATCACTCTAACATACATACACGTACACTTTCACACAAAAGTAGCTCTGAGGCCCTTGTATTTTGTGTTTGAAGATCTATTTCTGAAAGTGATTCATGCAGAGCTCATAAAGTCATGGGTATATTAAGGTTTCTTAAGGTATAGATACGTATAGGAAAATCATAAGGTCAAAAAACCACTGTTGAGGGATAATTTGGGAAGAGAAAGAATAAGAGGAGTAAAGAAAACAGAGGAAAGATATAAGAAAAATGTGAAAAAGCTGGTTCAAGACATCAGTGATCACAGTAATAACAGAATTTTCAAGCAACTAAAAGTTCAAACTCAATTGGTTTAAAAGGAAAAATGAAACTTATTAGGTTCATGTAAATAAAGTATCCAGAGGTAGTTCAAGTCTCAGGTATAGTTGGTTGAGGCTTTGGCCCTATTACCTTTTTCATTTACTCTTTTATCTGTTTTCTTTATTTGTGTGCTTCATTCCTGGGTCAGATTTTCCTGGGAAGCAAAATTCAATAGCAATTTTGGGCATTGCATGCACCATAGCAGCCAAAGTGAGAACTCCTCTTTCCTGAAGCAGCAAACATAAATCCTAAACTTCAGTTGGATCGGGCCAAATTACATCAGATATACGCTATAAGGCAATTATTCTGGCTAAACTAAGGCATGAAATCATGATCATTATCTTAGATCTTGGTTTTTATCTAGGGTCAACTTGTCACCCTAGGGAACATTTAGCAATGTCTGAAGTTATATCTGATGTCACAACTGAGCAGATGCTATGGGCATCTAGTGGGTAGGGGCCAGGGATGCTGCTAAACATCCTACAGTGCACAGAACAGCTTCCTCACTAAGAATTACCTGGTCCAAAATGTTAATAGGGCAGAGGTTTCTCAAGGGCTCTCAAACTTGAATATAAATCAGAATCACCTGGAAGCCTGTTGAAACAAATCACTGGTTCCCATTGCCATATTTTCTGATTCAGTAGGTTAGGGGATAGCAGCAAGTTTTTCTAGCAAGCTTCCAGGTGCTATTGCTGCAGCTAGTTTATAGTTCACATACCTATGTTCCATGTTGCATGGTTCACAGCATACCATAATAGCAGGGCTACTCTACGCGAGATGGAGTCTAGTTACATGTATTCCTGAGAACTAACCAGCTGTAGTAATACAAGTTGGGGGAGGGGAAGTTGTGATTTCAACCATTTCCTACACTTCTCAAACCCTAAAGACCATATTGTACTAAAATTTACAGATCAGAGAGTTGCTTCTAGTATCCCTGGCTTCTCCAAAACCAGTTTCCCCTGACCTCCCTTCCTAAGTTCTATAAAAATATATCCTAAAACCCCCTTTCCTCCTACTATTTTATTCAAAATGAATTAGGATGTTTTAAGATGGACTGTTCTGGAAAAGTGTAGAATAAACAAAAAATGCATAAAGGCAAATGTAAATAAAAAATATAACTGAATGATATAAAACAGATGTCAATCAAGGACCTCGAGGGCAGGAACAGCCCTCTTAATTCTTTACCTGGAATATGTCACAATTTCCCTGAAGGATTCTTCCTCACACATCCTGCCTTTCACTCATTCTCCCTGGAAATATGAGAAGCAAGATTCCATTCCAATGACTCTTAGAAGTTAGACTGTAGTTGTGATAAAGACTAAGGGGCTTTTCTTCAGAGGAGTTCAGAGCAGAAGCCAGAAAAGCATAAGATTTTTTGGCTAAGTGGAAAATATTTTAGTAAGAAGGAAGATCTAGAATATCAACTAAACAGAGAAAAAGAAGGAAGGAGATAAATCTTAAAGAAGACCATTAAGTTGACAGTCAACAACTCAGATAATTTTTACTGAGAAAATGCATTTTCAGGTAAGAGATCTTGGCAGGGATCCACAAACCGGAATCACTGCCCTCAAGGAACTTCCAATTAGAAAAGGAAGAAAAACAAAAATAACTGCAATTCTGTGGGTGCAGAATAAGTGGTTCTTTTGGTGATACCAGACAAGGGAGGGTTACTTCCATTATAGCCCTGGGAAAGGCCTCCTAGAGGAAGAAACTTCTCAGCTGGGCTTTGAGTATTGCACATTCATCCAGGGGGACACAGAGAAATTACACGAAAAATGCCTTGCATTGAATGCCCTGCTGGGATACAATTATCCCAGCATAATTATATTCAGCTACTTTGACAAATCATATTTAAGTAGAGGCAGAACAAGAAAAGTTTTAAAATAGAAAGCCAAGTAGAAGTCATATTTAAGTATATCTACCATATTTCATTTATTCTGAGACATTCATTTTTACATTTTAACATATAAGACATAGATTATACTATTGATATGGATTTATATTAAATTTACAGTTTTAAATAAATTTTCTGCTGGTGTTTAAGTTATAACTTATCTTAAAATCTATGAATGCCCCATTTTGATAAAATATGATGATAATTTGATGAAATATGCTGAGAGTGACACCTGGGTTGACATCTTGGGAATCTAGGCTTCTTAGTGCTTATTCCAAATGGGAGTGGAGGTAGGACAGAGGCTCAAGGGTTATCCTGAAATGACCTGTTAAAACCACAAGGACAAACAGCTATATACAAGAGGTATTTGTACTTCCATGTTCATAGCAACATTATTCACAATAGTTAAGGTGGCAACAAGCCAAATGTCCATAGATGGATGAACTAAATGTGTCACCTACAGTGGAGGATTATTCAGGATGTAAAGAGAAGGAAACCCTGTCACATGCCATGACATGGATGAATCCTGAGGGCCTCATGTTAAGTTATATCAGCCAGTCACAAAGTGACAATTACAATATGATTCCACTTATATGAGGTTCCCAGAGTAGTCAAATTCACAGATACGGAAAGTAGATGATGTTAACCAGGGTCAGGGGAGTTGGGAGAGGGAAATGGGGAATTGCTGTTCCACAGGAAAAGAGTTCCCATTTTGAGGGATGAAAGAGTTCTGGAGATTGCTGGCATAACAATGTAAATGCACTTAACACCACTGAACTGTACACTTAAATGTGATAAAGATGGTAAATTTTGTTACGTGTATTTTAACAGGATTAAAAAATATATCTCCACATAAAGGAGATAGAAAGTGGGGAAGAGTTTGGTGGAAAGAATGAGGCTAAGGCAATGAAATAGATAAAATGACTGAAAAGGATGAGAAGGTGGACAGAAAAAAAAGATTAAAACAACCAACCAAACAAAAAACAACTCACCAGCGCCTCTTATACCATAATGCAAGGCACAGCAAAAGGATCAAGGATAGCACGATTATTGCCAAAAAGATCAAGCCAATGGAGATGGGCTGTCCTGGAAATTGGGAGAGGACAAAAGGATGTCACTTCGAATTCCACCCAATGAATTCCCTGGCCATCCTTTCCCCACTGAGTGTCAGCACCTCCAAACAGCTGCTTCCAATGTATGGTCATCTCCAGCCCCTTTCTCACATTCCAGAGGCAATCCATCATCTACCTTTTGATCTCTCTAGCTTCAGCTGACACAATCTGCTTGTTCTTCATTCTTATCTCTTCTTTAGTTTGCGTACTTTATTTTTATTCCTATTTGGGGTTGGGATTGGGGTCCCAGAAATGAATCAATCTACTTCTCTCCCTCTTTCATTTCTCAAGCCCCCTCCTTCCCCAGTGCCTGCCTCTCTGCCTGAGGACCACCTCCTCCCAGGTCCAGCCAGGCCCAGCCCTTTCTCACCCCAGTGGAGGATGATGTCCTGGCCCTCTAGACTGCTGTGCTTCACCCGACAGGACAGGCCAGCCGCCTCCCCAGCCGCCACATCTAGGGTCACTCGGAGATACCACGTCCAGTCAGCATTGGGCAGGAGGTCACTGTGCCAAGTGCCCGGCTGCTCCTGCTCTCCCCGCATCCACCTCACCCGCACGGGCTTTGGGTAGAATCCTGAGACGTGGCACACCAGCAGCAGACGGCCAGGCCCGGGACTGGGGCCACTGGACAGCCAGGCCTCGGGCTTCACTGGGGCAGGAAGGGGCAATGAGAGTGTCGTGTCATGACTCAAATTCAGATCACAGGGACTCAGAAGCCCACAAGCTTGGACAGTGACCCCTTCCACTGCTTTGGGATCCCAATAACTTGTTGATTAAGTCCCTATTTTTCTTCGGTATCTTCCTACTCTTGAGCTTAGAGGGGATCATGGGAAGTGAAGTAGAGAGCAGGACTAACCTTGCCTTTGCAGCTCTGCCTTCCCTGCTTCGAGGACGCCTAGGAGATATTGGGGGCAGGTGTTAAACAGGAACTTCATCACAGTATTTTTGAAAGCATGATAATTCATTATTAGTTTGCAGACATGCTGGGCCCTTTTGCCGCCATCTGGCGCAGGCACACATGTATCATTCTCGAAGCGCAGGAAATCCAATCCTTCTTCAGCTTTCCTGAGGAAGCTTACTGTGGAACCCCCAGAATGTAGCTCACAGCCTGCTATGGCCTGGACCTCCATGGGATCTAGGTGGAAGGAATACAGGGAACAAGTTATTAAACATAAATAAGAAAGAAAGCAAGGAGAAAAGGATGTAGAATTTTATATATAGGTAAGGATAACATTCCTGGATGTGAAATGATGAGCCAAATCCCAATGACAGCACATAGAGATTTTCACAAACAATAGCATTTGGAAAGCTATGCATGTCATGAATGGGGTTATGGTAATAGTTGGTGGGTGGGAGGCAGAGCATGATGCAGTCCACAGAGCAGCGTTTCAGCATGAGCCAGAGGACCACCGCAAAAGGAGACACAGGGAGGAGACGACTGAAGAGACGGATCAGAGGAGGAAGCCTCTGATCCGTCTGACTGTAGGTCACTCGGGCACAGGGTAGAAGTAAGGGCCCTTGAGGAGCAAGGTCTACATAAGACAAAGCAGCAATCGGATACCAATGGGGAACCCTAATCTGTCAGAGAAGAGTCAGAAGCAGCTGGAATCTGGAATACAGTGTGGAGGTGTGGAGTCAGGAAGAAACTGCTCTGGACGAGTTTGTGCATGTAGTTGGGTAAAGCAGAAAGGAGGGGAGAAGGATCAGATGGATTAGCAGCTTGCAAAAAGAGAGAGAAGAAAGTCCTTGGGAATCTTCCCAGTTTAGGGGAGTGGACTCACATTTCATCTGGAATAGAGTGACATACACCTTCATAATTTGAGTAAATTTATGTAAGTAGACTCTGAATATCTCCTCCAGCTCAGCAAACTCCTCGACACTGAAGTTGCCCTTGGACCAGGGCTTCAGGAGTATTGCAGTGCCCGAGTCACTGTTCCAGCCATGAATCTGCAAATCATCCAACCAGCCTGAAGCTTCAGTGTGTGCCAAGGTGCTGTTGGCAAAGGACGAGATCTGGATGACATGGTAGGAGGTTGGTCCCTGGAAGGCTGTGAAGAGTAGAGGAACAAGACTGTGAAGAGAAAGCGAGAAGAAGGAGGGAGTGAGAGAGAATGGAAATGGAAAAGATCCAGAGACAAGAACTTGATTCTGAAGAACACATACAGCGTGACACATTTGACTGCCCCAATGTCTCAGGCTCCAACCCCAACACCCAGAAAGGGTTGGAAACAGCAGGGCTCAGACCCTTCATGTCCAAGTGCAGCTGGGTGAGTGCAACATGTTTTTATCCAAGACCCCTGCACCAGTGCTGGGAGCTGCCAGAGTGACTCTTACCGTCCTCACTGTCACCACCTGGGAAGAGAACTGCCAACAGTTGAAATGGCAGAAGCAGCATTTCACTGGGAGATGGAGCTTGTGACTCGCAGCGCTGGTGTTTGATCTCTGATTTCAGCAAACGTTTTTCTCAGTAGCTTGTGGTGACTTCCTCTCTTCCAACTGACAAATCTCTTCCTCATCCAAATTGCATTTCAGAGAAAAAATGTGCCTCCAATCGCCACGAGCCTTATACCTCACCTCCTGTGCCCCCGCCCAGGGCTGACTTGTAGACTTTCTCTTACCTCCCTGACTTCCACCTGCTGCTTGTGTCATCCACTTTATTCTTGGAAAAGCCCCCGTGTGATTGTGAAAGGTCTTTTCACCTTCTTCAGCCTCTATTCTCATGTCTTTAATATAAGAGGATGGCATTATACAATTGCTTAACTTCTAGTCTTCTTTAACCTAGAAAGAGTGTTTTGGTTTACCCACCCAAGTCAGCCTTCCTCCCTCCCTGTTGCTCCAACTTCCATGGCCCTCCCTCATTGCCTCTTCCTAATGTTCTCAGTGTCTCCTCTTTCGTATCTCATCCTCCTTGACTGATGTCCCTTACCCTGAGTTCTAATCTGATTGTGTGAGAGTTTGTGTGTGTCTGTTTATGTGTGTGTGTGTGTGTGTTGATAATCACTTACATGAAATCAAAGCATTTTATGCCATGCATACTATAGAACTACAGACCCACATACTGGAATCCAATATCATAAATATTTCTATTTATAATCCAGGCAAATTTATCTTAAACCATAGCCAGTTTTCAGGGTAAATGGCATTTGCTTCTAGTATGTGACCTTCTCTTGAGTAGCTTGGACATTTGGAGTTTGGATATTGTTTTTTACTGTTTTTTTTTTATTTCAGCATATTATGGGGGTACAAATGATTAGGTTATGTATACTGCTCTTGCCCTCCTCCCCATCGGAGCTTCAAGCGTGTCCATCCTCCAGACGGTATGCATCACATTCATTATATATATATATATATATATATATATATATATATATATATCCATCCCTTCCATTCCCACCTGCCTGATGCCTGATGAATGTTATTATATGTGCACTTACATGTTGATCAGTTAAAACCAATTTGATGGTGAGTACACGTGGTGCTTATTTTTCCATTCTTGGGATTCTTCACTTAGTAGAATGGGCACCAGCTCTATCCAGGATAATACAAGAGGTGCTGTATCACCATTGTTACCATTGTTTCTTGTAGCTGAATATTACTCCATGATATGCATATACATCATTTTATTAATCCACTCATGTATTGATGGGCACTTCGGTTGTTTCCACATCTTTGCAGTTGGGAATTGTGCTGCTATAAACATTTGAGTGCAGATTTTTTTTTTTTTTTATAGAATGTGTTTTGTTCTTTTGGGTAGTTGCCCAGTAATGGGATTACTGGATCAAATGGTAGTTCTACTTGTATCTCTTTGAGGTATCTCCATATTACTTTCCACAGAGGTTGCACTAGTTTACAGTTTCCACCAGCAGTGTATGAGTGTTCTTATCTCTCCACATCCACGCCAACATTTATTGTTTTGGCACTTTTTGATAAAGGCCATTTTCACTGGGGATAAGTGGTAGCTCATTGTGGTTTTGATTTGCATTTCCCTGATGATTAGAGATGTTGAGCATGTTTTCATATGTTTGTTGGCCATTATTCTGTCTTCTTTTGGGAAGGTTCTGTTCATGTCCTTTGCACACTTTTTGATAGGGTTTTTTGATTTTTCTTGCTGATTTTCCTGAATTCTAAATAGATTCTAGTTATCAGCCCTTAATCGGATGTGTAGCATGAGAATATTTTCTCCCATTTTGTAGATTGTCTGTTTGCTCTTGTGATAGTTTTTCTTTGGCTGTGCAGAAGCTTTTTAATTTGATCAGGTCTCATTTATTTATTTTCGTTGTTGCTGTGATTGCCTTTGGGATCTTCTTCATAAATTCTTTGCCTAGGCCAATGTCTAGAAGAGTGTTTCCAATGTTTTCTTCTAGAATTCTTAAAGTTTCACACCTTAGGTTTAAATGTGTTATCCACTGTGAATACATTTTTTGTGAGAGGTAAAAGGTGAGGATCCTTTCAGTCTTCAACATGTGGCTATCCAGTTTTCCCAGCACCATTTATTGAATAAGTATTCTTTTCCTCAGTGTACTTTTTGTCTGCTTTGTCAAAGATTAGATGGCTATATGAGAATGGTTTTATATCTGGGTTCTCAGCTCTGTTCCATTGGTCTGAGTCCCTATTCTTATGCAAGTACCATGTGATTTTAGTTACCATAGCCTTGTAGTATAGTTTGAAGTCTGGTAAGTTGATGCCTCCTATTTTATTCTTTTTGCATAGTATTGCTTTTGCTATACAGGGTCTTCTCTGGTTCTATACGAAGTGTAAAATTATTTTTTCTATATCTGTGAAAAATGATGTTGGTATTTTAATAGGGATTGCATTGAATCTGTAGATCACTTTGGGTAGTATAGACATTTTAATAATGTTAATTCTGCCAAACCTTGAGCATGGTATGGTTTTCCACCTCTTTAGGTCCTCTGCTATTTCCTTCCTCAGTGTTTCATAGTTCTCCCTGTAGAGGTCTTTTACCTCCTTAGTTATATATACTCCTAGGTACCTTATTTTCTTTGTTGCTATTCTGAAGGGTGTTGAGTCTTTGATTTGGTTCTCAGGTTGACTGTTGTCATATAGGAATGATACTGACATGTGTACATTGATTTTTTTACTTAAGTCTTTGCTGAATTTATTTATCAATTCTAGGAGTCTCTTGGCAGAACCATTGGGATTTTCTACATATAAGATGATATCATTAGCTAAGAGTGGTATTTTGACCTCTTCTTTCCCCATTTGGATACCCTTGATCACAGAAAAGCAAGGAAGCAGAGAAGAGAAAGAAAACACTACACACTCAGAAATGAACAGGCCAGTGAAGGAATGTTAAAGTTCAAATTGAATTAGGGAGTTTCAACTGCTTCTAATTCCTTTGATTTTCAGTGGGGGATTCATGCATCTGTTTTATAAGTGGCCCATCCATTAGTTTATCCCAGATCTCAGGCTGAAACCTTGTTGTTGTAGATGGGAGAGGGAGGGGCACACAGGCTAGAGATAAGAACTGCTGCTGGGGCCAGAAAGGGGGAGACTCACTTGAATCAGAGCTAAAGGGGGAAAAAGTCCCTGGAAGAGGCATGTGGTAGTGGGAGGCTTTGAGTTTCCCTGAAGGGGAAGAGGATGTGGGGTGAGGTTTCTGCTGGTGGAAAAAGGGGTGACAGAGCAGAGTGTGAGACTGTGTGAGGTGGGGAGTCTGAGTTCTGAGGAGAGCTCTGTCTAGGGAGTGGCCAGATAAGAGCCCAGGAAAAGATGGACAAAAGGATCTGGGGCCCTGTGTAAGGAAAATGTCACAGCTAAGCTAGTCATTATGCCTTTCTCTGTGGTAACTGGTTCAAGTTTCATCTTCTGTTCATTCTGCTTACCTCTCTTTTTTTCATACTACTTGTCCTACTACCTCCCATTGAGATGTGTCCAGGAACACATCTCATTCCATCTCACCCAGAGCCATTCTTTGCCAGCCAATCCTGGGCACAAAATCAGGGCTCAGGTTGGGTGGTTGAGTTGCAGACTCATGGCTCAGAGAGTGAATCAGGTGCAATAATTTTCCTGCACACCTGGTCCAAGAGGAACTTAAGCAATGAGGAGTTGTTCGACTTGGAGATGCTGTTCCATGTCTACTTCAATGGATTAAGTTGGGAGGTTCGAGGCCCTGCCAGTCAATTGCAGTTTGAATGTAAGTTCAATCAACTCAAGTAAGGGAATTCTTCACAGTGTTCTATTTCTGGGAAATATTCTTTACTCATTTCTGGACCATTTCCCATGATCCCTTCTCCCCATAAAAGTCTGCGTGTATAAACCTCTCAGGGGATCTTTCAAATGTTGACTCCCTGAAATTTCCTGGATGCTTGCCACCTTGGGATACTTTGTCCTTATGCTTAGTTATCTTCCCCCTGTGGTCTCCCTCTGTGGCCTACAGTCTAGAGGCTCACATTGTCCCAGTCTGTGCTTCACTTCCTTAAACTATGATCTTCCCTCATTTCTTCAAAAGTCTATGTCCATAGTCCAACAGCCATTATGACCAATCTCATGCATCATGGGAGGAAAGCTGTACTCCCACCTCCCTCACAAATTTACCGCCTCCCTTGACAATAAATAATGTGGCTCAACTTTCATTTTCTCATGTAAATCTCCTGTTCATTCAAGCCGTTTATCTCTTATTGCCTGTCTTTCCTATCTCTATACTTTTTCTCTATTCCTGATTCAATATATCTTTGGCTACTCTTAAGCCCATTTGAAACCTTCATGCTCCACTTTCTCTTTTTCTTTTTTTTTGAGACAGAGTCTCGCTTTGTTGCCCAGGCTAGAGTGAGTGCCATGGCGTCAGCCTAGCTCACAGCAATCTCAAACTCCTGGGCTCAAGCAATCCTCCTGCCTCAGCCTCCCGAGTAGCTGGGACTACAGGCATGTGCCACCATGCCCGGCTAATTTTTTCTGTATATATTAGTTGGCCAATTAATTTCTTTCTATTTATAGTAGAGACGGGGTCTCGCTCTTGCTCAGGCTGGTTTCGAACTCCTGACCTCGAGCAATCCGCCTGCCTCAGCCTCCCAGAGAGCTAGGATTACATATGTGAGCCACTGCGCCCGGCCTCCACTTCTTGATAAGGTACTAGATTTTCATATTATTGCTCTTATTCTTTAATCTGAATTCTTTTTCTCATTCCTCCCTTCCCCCAGGTCCCTTTGTAATACAGACCAAATTTGGCTGTGATCTGCACTCTGTACAGAGTCAAATATTGTCATCCGGGCAGCTTTTGAGGGATCAGTTTCTGAGTTTCCAAAACACATCACGGGTGCCATCTCCAGAGGGTGGGAGTAGGGCCCAGATGTCTGTGATCTACTCAATCACTATGAAGGCATCAAGGAAACAGTGTATAGGCTCTTAGGAAACACATGTCCCTGGTTTGTCTTGGGTCTCCTGGATGTGGAGAAGGTGAACCTCCAGAGGGAAGGTCAGTTTAACCGCTTTTTCTAAGATTTCACTAATAAATGCATCCCCTCCCCTGCCCTCCTTCAAAGATAGGACAAGAAACAGGACCAGGAAAGGGGTTACTGGGTGATGGTTTCCTAGAGGAGAGAAAAAGATAACTGTGCATATGAATGTGGATATATGTGCCCCTAAGCTGCGTGTAAGTGTCCTCATCTGAACACCTTTGTGTTCTCTGCAGTGAGGCCAGAGTCCTGGCTGTCCAGTCATCCCACTGTTGGGTCTGGCTGGCTATTGCTGGTTTGTCATGTCTCCGGTTTCTAACCAAAGCCTGTTTGGGGGACATGGATGTGGAGTGAGCAGGACCAACTGGGCACTAAACAAGATGATAGTCTTCCTATTGCCAGTGGCCTGTGGTATCTTCAGGTGTCTCTGGATGAGGCAGCTGAAGAGGCAGCTGTGCTATCTCGGCAAGTGAGCTACAGTGGCCTAGGAGGCCAGGACATCATCCTCTACTGGGGTGAGAATGGGTGTGGGAGGTGTGAGTAGGGGTCCTTGAGATGAGGAAAGTGGGATGATATCAGATCTAGGTGAGCAATGTGAGGAAGGAATGAATATAGGTAATTCAAGGAATGGAGGAGTGGGAAATGAGGGACACACAGACACCAAAGATTTGGGGGTGGGGAGATAGGGAATCCTTTCCTGAGTTGGGATGGGAATAGAGTGACTGAAATAGGATGATTGACGTGACTTGTATCCAATGCACAAGGCAAGTAGGGAAATCAGTAGATGGAGGAGGATCAGCAGTGGGTTTAAAGTGACATCCCTGTATGTCTCCAATATCTGCAGGACACCACCTTCCCATGAACTTGACACCTTGGCAGTGACAGTGCCCCTGATGCCTCTGATAGGGCTTGCTTGTATTGTGGTTTAAGAGGTGCTGTGAGTTCCCTGCATTTTCTCTTCTCTTTCCAATTTCTTTTTTCTTTCTTTATTCCCCCCAGATTTTAAAAAAATACAATTCTGGTATTTAAAAACGATGTATCTTAAAACATAAGGTCACAAAACTTTGACAAAAAAGAGTGGAAAATATATCAAAATATACCTAGTCTGTTTACATTAATATTAGAGGAAATGAACATTGATACTGAAAACATAGGTATGTATTTTTTTATTTTTACTTCAGAATTTTATGGGGGGGTACATATGCTTTGATTACATCGTTTGCTTTTGTACAGGTTGAGTAGAAGTTTTAAGTCTGCCCTTCAGCCAGGTAGTGCACATTGTACCCATCAGATGCGAATTCACCTTTCCAATTTCTTACTTCATATTCCATTTTTAGCTCTCTTAGCTTTGCTCTCTTGACCACTCCACCTTATCCTTAGTCACCACATCCAACTTACCCAGAATCTTTTCCCATTTCTGTTCTTCCACAGCTGTGATCAGGACATCCCATGAGACTCCGCCCCATTCCTTTCCCATCGTAATGGGAACCCAGCAACCCTGGAGCCTCAGACAGCTCAGTGATGCCATCCTTTCTACTCTCCACTGAAATTGTTTCTCTTTCTGCTGAACAATCATTTCTTACTATAAACCAATTTAATTTCTGTAAACCTATATAGAGTGGCTTTCTCGCAGTCTGCATTTTTTCAGTAGTACTCATCCTTCAAAGCCCATTTTTAATGTTGTTTCCTCCCACAATGTTCCTTGACCCATAAGAAGGAATCAGTCTTTCCCTCTTCTGAACCTAGAGAGCAATTCACTGTACTCTGCTATGTGCATGTATCACTTCTTCCCCTGCTTTGCAGCTACTTAGATCTTTCTTCCCTTTTCCATGTTTAAGCTCCTTGAGGACAAGAATAATAATAATGCCACCTTTCCTGCATGTAATATGTGCCCAGCAAAAAAGAAAATAAAATGAAATAAAACAAAACAAATCATATCTAAATTGAATTAACTATCACATTGGTAGTTTCGTCTCCTCACATTTCTTCCTGACATTGTTGCAGCATTTGAAACATTGATGTTTTCCTTCTTGTTTAAATGCCTCTTACTTAGGTGAGAAATTCCATCCTCCTTTAACTCCCTGATTTTCTCCCTAAACCTTTAAGTAAAAATGTAGCTTTGCCCCTGAACATATTTATTTTCTCAATACAGAGAGCCAAATCCATCCAACTTGTTACAAACACAAATATATATATAGAGAGGGTGCAAGTCATGTGTGAAGGGTAGCAGGGCATGGGTACATGGGTACAAGGGTAGCATGTCCCAGAGTGGTTAAGAAAAAGAAGTAACAGAGTTGGTCCTCAGGGTTGGGTGGGTTGGGTGGGTGGAATCAAAGAACAAAATGTTATATGGGACACAAATCTCCTAAAGGTCTGTACTGAGATAGTGTTGGCTAGATTTTATTCCCTTTAGGTTTCATTTACTAATTCAATTAATATTTGTTAAGCACTGAATATGAGACAGGCAACAATTTCTTAATGTGTCAGGGAGAAAACAAATGAAATTGTGTCCACCTTTCTGATGTTTCCTTCCTCAATCTGTCCCTGTTGTTTTTCTTTGTACTGTTTTCATTTTTGTTTCATTTAAACAATTTTAAGTCAATTTTATTGATGAAAAATTTTTAGTAAATGCATCTAAATTTTAATCGTACAGTTCCACAAATTTATAAGCCCAGATTAAAGGTCCACAATGAAAATACAGAGTTCCATAACCCCTCATACACATTTGTAGTCAAACTGTTGAATATGCCAAAGTAAAGCTACAAAGTGATTCCTTTTCCTTTACATGAAAAGGTGAAAGTTCCTTACTTAACAAGTAAACAAACAAACAAAAATGTACACTGAGGTTTCTATGATCTTCAGTAGGAATAAATCTTCTATCTATGAAATTGTAAAGAAGAAAATTCATGCTTGCTTTGCAGTTACAACTCAAAATGCAAAAGTTATGGTCATAGCTCATGATCCCTGCCTAGTTAAGATGGAAAAGGCATTACATTTTTGAGTGGGAGACATCAACAGAAAGGTGTTCCAATTCATAGCAAGTGGGTTTGGTAATTTCTTTGGTTTCTGGCACCCTCTGGGGCTATTGGAATATAACTACCATAGAAAAGGGAAAACTAGTGTATTTTATATATTGGCAAAAATCACACACACATACATGTACGTGCACTCTCACACAAAAATAGCTTGGAAGCCCTTCTATTTTGTGTTTGAAGATCTATTTCTGAAAGTCATTCATGCAGAGGTCATAAAGTCATGGGTAAATCAAGGTTTCTCAAGCTAAGGATACGTATAGGAAAATCATAAGTTCCCAAAACCACTGTTGAGGGATGCTAATTTGGGAAGAGAAAGAATAAGAGGAGCAAAGAAAACATAGGAAACACATAAGAAAAATGTGAAAAAGCTGGTGCAAAACATCAGTGATCATGGCAATATCAGAATTTTCAAGCAACTAAAAATACAAACTCAATGGGTTTAAAGAAAAAATGAAACTTATTAGGTTCATGTAACTAAAATATCCAGAGGGAGGTTAAGTCTTGGGTATCGTTGAATCAGGCTTTGGCGCTATTACCTTTTTATTTGCTCTTTTATTTGTTTTCTTTATTTGTGTGCTTCATTCCCGTGACAGGTTTTCCTGTCAAACAAAATTCAGTAGTAATTTTGTGCATTGCACACAGCATACGAGCCAAAGTGAGAGCTCCTCTTTTCTCAGGGCCCAAACATAAATCTGATACTTCAGTTGGATGAGGCCAAATTACATCAAATAGATGCTATGAGGCAATTATTCTGGCTACACAGGGTCATGATATTATGATCATTTTCTTAGATCTTGGTTTTCATCGGAAGTCAACTTGTGACCCTAGGGAATATTTAACAATGTCTGAGGATATATTTGATGTCACAACTGAGGAGATACTGTTGGCATCTAGTGGGTAGAGGCCAGGGTGCTGTTAAACATCCCACAGTGCACAGAACAGCTTCCTCAGCAAGAATTATCTGGTCCAAAATGTCAGTAGATCCCAGGCTGAGAAACCATTAGAACAGGGCTCTCAAACTTGAATATTAATCATAATCAACTGGAAGCCTTGTTAAAACAGATAAATGGTTCCCATCCCCATATTTTCTGATTCAGTAGGTTGGGGGATAGCAGTGAGTTTTTCTAGCAAGCTTCCAGGTGCTATTGCTGCAGCTAGTTCATAGTTAACATTCCCATTTTTCACATTGCATGGTTCACAAGCATACAGCAATAGCATGGCTACTGTATAATATGGGGTCCAGTTACATGTATTACTGAGAAGTAACCAGTTATAATAATAGAAGGGGGCGGGGAGCTGTGATTTCAACCATTTCCTACTCTTCTCAAACCATAAAGACCATATTGTACTAAAATTTACAGATCGGAGAGTTGCTTCTAGTGACTTCCCCAAAACTACTGTTTCCTCTGACCTCTCTTCGTAGGTTCTATAAATATAAATCCTCAAATCCTCCTTCCTCCTACTATTTTAATCAAAATGAATTAGGTTGTTTGAAATAGACTATTCTAGAAAAGTGTAGAATAAACAAAAAATGCATAAAGGTAAATATAAATTGAAAATATAACTGAATGATATAGCACAGATATCAATCAAGGACCCTGAGGGCAGGAGCAGCCCCCTTAATCCTTTTTCTTGAACATGTCACAATCTTCCTGAATGATTACTCCTCAGCCATTCTGTCTCTCACTCATTCTCCCTGGAAAAATGATAAGGAAGATTCCATCCCAATGACTCTTTGAAGTTGGACTGTAGTTGTAGTAAGGACAAGGGTGGTTTTCTCCAGAGGAGTTCAGAGCAGAAGCCAGAAAAGCATACTATTTTTTGGCTAAGTGGAAAATATTTTAATAAGAAGAGGAAGATCTACAATATCAACTAAATTGAGAAAAAGAAAGAAGGAGATAAATCTTAAAGAAGACCATTAAGTTCACAGTCAACAACTCAGAAAATTTTTACTGAGACAATGCATTTGCAGGTAAGAGATCTTGGAAGGGATTCACAAACCAGAATCATTGCCATTAAGGAACTCCAAGTAGAAAAGGAAGAAAAACAAAAAAAACTGCAATGATGTGGGTGCAGAGTAAGTGGTTCTCTTGGTGCTACCAGACAAGGGAGGGTTATTTCCATTATAGCCCTGGGAAAGGCCTCCTGGAGGAAGAAGCTTCTCAGCTGGGCTTTGAGGGAGGGAAAGTCATCCAGGCAAAGACAGAGAAATTACATAAAAATGTCTTTCATCTTTGTGATACAATTATCCCAGCATAATTATATTTATGTTACTTTGACAAATGATATTTAAGTAGAAGCAGAAAAAGAAAAATTTTAAATAGAAAGCCAAAGAGAAGTCACCATTAAGTGTATCTACCATATTTCATTTATTCTGAGACATTCTTTCTCACATTTTAATATATAAGACATAGATCATACTATTGCTATGCTAATGTAATAAATTGACAGTTTTAAATAATTTTTCTGATGGTGTTTAAGTCATAATTTTTCTTAAAATCTATGAACACTCCATTTTGATAAAATATGATGATAATTTGATGAAATATGCTGAGAGTGACACCTGGGTTGATATCTTGGGATTCTAGTCTTCTTAAAGCTTATTCCAAATAGGAGAGGAGATAGGACAGGGGCTCAACAGTTACCCTGAAATGACCTGTTAAAACCACAAGGACAAAGGAGTTATTTTTACTCCCAAGTTCATAGCAACATTATTCATAATAACTAAAGGTAGAACAAGCCAAATGTCCATAGATAGATGAATGGATGATCTAAACATGTCACTTACCCACAAGGGCATATTATTCAAGACTTAAAAGGAAGGAAATCCTGTCACATCGTAGAACATAGATGAACCTTGATGGCCTTGTGCTAAGTGAACTCAGCCAGATAAAAAGACAATTACGGTATGATTCTACTTATATGAAGTACCCAAAGTAGTCAAATTCACAGATACAGAAAGTAGAATGATTTTAACCAGGATCAGGGGAGTGGGTAGGGGGAAATGGGGAATTGCTGTTCCACAGGAAAAGAGTTCCCAATTCAAGGGATGAAAGAGTTCTGGAGATTGCTGGCATAAAAATGTGAATGTGCTTAACTACACTGGGCTGTACACTTAAAATGCTAAAGATGGAAAATTTTGTTATGTATATTTTAACAGGATTAAAAAATATACCTCCACATAAAGGAGATAGAAATTGGGGGGAAGGGTTTGGTGAAAAGTTTGAGGATAAGGCAATGAAATAGATAAAATGACTGAACATGGTGGGAGGATGGACAGAAAAGAAAGATTAAAACAAACAAACAAACAAATAAACAACTCACCGGCACCTCAAATACCATAATGCAAGGCACAGCAAAAAGATCAAGGAGGGCACTATTATTGCCAAAAAGATCAAGCCAATGGAGATAGGGTGTCCTGGAAATTGGGAGAGGACAAAAGGATGTCACTTCAAATCCCGCCCACTGAATCCCCTGGCCATCCTTTCCCCACCTGAGTGTCAGCACCTCCATTCAAGTGCTTCTAATGTATGGTCATCTCCGACCCCCTCTCTCACATTCCTGAGGCCATCCATCTACCTTTTCATCCCTCTAGCCCCAACTCACATAATCTGCTTGTCCTTTGTTCTTATCTTTTCAATGATTTGGCTCCTCTATTTTTATTCCTGTTGGGATTGGGGTCCCAGAAATGTATCTATCAATCCACCCCTCTCCCTCTTTCATCTGTCAAGCCCCATCCTTCCCCAGTGCCTGCCTCTCTGCCTGAGGACCACCTCCTCCCATGTCCAGCCAGGCCCAGCCCTTTCTCACCCCAGTGGAGGATGATGTCCTGGCCCTCTAGACTGCTGTGCTTCACCCGACAGGACAGGCCAGCCACCTCCCCAGCCGCTACATCCAGGGTCACTCGGAGATACCACGTCCAGTCAGCATTGGGCAGGAGGTCACTGTGCTGAGTTTCTGGCTGCTCCTGCTCTCCCCGCATCCACCTCACCCACACGGGCTTTGGGTAGAATCCTGAGACGTGGCACACCAGCAGCAGACGGCCAGACCTGGGACTAGGGCCACTGGACAGCCAGGCCTCAGGCTTCACTGGGGCAGGAAGGGGCAGTGAAAGTAGGTGTCATGACTCAAATTGAGATCATAGGGACTCAGAAGAAAAATTTGGACAGTGACCCCTTCCACTGCGTTGGGGTCCAAATAACTACTTGATTAAGCTTGTGTTCTTCTTAGGTACCTTCCTACTCCTGAGCTTAGAGGAGGTGGTGGAAAGTGAAATAGAGAGCAGGACTAACCTTGTTTTTGTAGCTCTGATTTCCCTGCATCAAGGACGCTCAAGAGATATCGGGGACAGTTGTCAAAGAAGAGCTTCATCACAGTATTGATGACAGCGTGATTTGTCATTATTAGTTTGCAGACATACTTTGCCCCACTGCCTCCCTCTGGCGCAGGCACACATGTGTCTTTTTCAGCACTCAGGAAATCCAATCCTCCTATAGCTTTCCTGAAGAAGGTTACTATGGAACCCCCAGCACGTTGCTCACAGCCTACTATAGCCTGGATCTCAATGGGGTCTAGGTACAAGGTAAACAGAGAACATATTATTAAACAAAAATAAGAAAGGAAGCAAGGAGAAAAGGACCTAGTACTTTATATTTAGTTGAGGATGAAGTTCTTGGATGTAAAATGAGCCAAACCCCAATTAGAGTGTGTAGAGATTTTGACAAACAAGAGCATTTGGAAAGGTATGAGTGCCATGAATGGGGGGTATGGTAATAGTTGGGGAGGAGGAGACAGAGCGTGATATAGTCCTGAGAGCAGCATTTCACTATGAGCCAGAGGACAACAGAAAGAGGAGACACAGGGAGGAGACAACTGAAGAGACAGATCAGAGGAGGAAGCCACACTGTAGATCACTCAGGCATGGGGTAGAAGTAAGGGCCTGTTAGGAGCAAGGTCTACATAAGACAAAGTAGGAGTTGGATACCAATGGGGAGCCCTAATTTGTCAGAGAAGAGTCAGAAGCAGCTGGAATCTGGAATACAGTGTGGAGGTGTGGAGTCAGGAAGAAACTGCTCTAGAAGAGTGTGTGCATGTAGTTGGGTAAAGCAGAAAGGAGGGGAGAAGGATCAGATGGATTAGCAGGTTGCAAAAAGAGAGAAGAAAGTCCTTGAGAATCTTACTGCTTTAGAGGAGTGGACTCACATTTCAGCAGGAATTGACTGGCATACACTGGTAAATGTTGACTAAGTCTATATAAGGAGACTCGGAATGTCTTCTCCAGTTCAGCAAACTCTTCATCACTGAAATTGCCCTTGGACCAAGGCTTCTGGGGTATTGCTGTGCCTGATTCACTGTTCCAGCCAAGAATCTGCAAATCATCCAACCAGCCTGAACCTTGAGCGTGTGCCCAGGTGTTGTTGGCAAACGACAAGATCTGGATGACATGGAAAGAGGTTGGTCCCTGGAAGGCTGTGAAGAATAGAAGAACAAGTTAGTGAAGAGAAAGGGAGAAGCAGGAGGGAGTGAGAGAGAGTGGAAATTGGACAGATCTGGAGAACAAGAACCTAGAGTCTGCAGAAGACATAAAGTCTGAAACATTTGACTGCCCCAGGGCCTCAAGCTCCAGCCCCTACACGGAGAAAGGTAGAAGAGGGCTGGAGACAGCAGGGCTTAGACTCTTCATGTCCAAGTGCACTTGGGTGAGTGCAGCATGCTTTTATCCAAAACCCCTGCACCAGTGCTGGGAGCTGCCAGAGTGACTCTTACCGTCCTCACTGTCACCACCTGGGAAGAGAACCGCTAACAGTTGAAATGGCAGTAGCAGCATTTCACTGGGAGATGGAGCTTGTGACTCGCAGAATTGGTGTTTGATCTCTGATTTCAGCAAACGTTTTTCTCAGTAGCTTGTAGCGACTTCCTCTCTTTGAACTGACAAATCTCTTCCTCATCCAAATTGCTTTTCGGAGAAAAAATGTGCCTCCCATAGCCCTGAGCCTTATACCCCACTTCCTGTGCCCACCCCAGCCCTGACTTCTAGACTTTATCTTTTTTCCCTGACTTCCATCTGCGGTCTGTGTCCTAGCTTCCTTCAGACTGCCTTGGGAAAGCCCCCATGTGATTCTGAAAGGTCTTTTCACCCTCTTCAGCCTCTATTCCCACTTCTGTCATATAAGAGGGTGGTAACATTTTCCCGAAAATAAGACCTACGCATAAAATAAGCCCTAGCAGGATTTCTAAGAATTTCCACAATATAAGCCCTAGCCCAAAAATAAGACCTAGTGATGGGCGTGGCTACGCAGCGTATCTGCACAATCCATGCATTTTGTTGGGGAATGCAGCCCTTCTCATCTGCCCCATCATGACAGCTACTATCTCAGAGGTGACCGGAAAGGTGCGGGCAGCCCCACCAACAAGGTCATCTCCCCCTGTCAGGTCCCGGCCATCCTGTGTGTGCTGCAAGCTGAGGTTTTGAGGGGAAAATAACACATTCCCTGAAAATAAGCCCTAGGGTGCCTTCTTGAGGAAAAATAAATATAAGACCCTGTCTTATTTTCGGGGAAACATGGTATTATACAATCTCTTAGCTTCTAGTCTCCTTTAACATAGAAGGATTGTTTGGTTTACTCACTCAAGTGAGCCTTCCTCTGTCCCTGTTGCCCTGAATTGTCTGGCCCTCTGTCATTTCCCCTTCCTAATCTTCTCAATGTCTCATCTTTCTTATCTCACCCTCCTTGCCTGATCACCCTTGCCCTACATTCTAATCTGGTTGTGTATGAGTGCATGTGTGTTTGTGTGGGTATGTGTGTGTGGATATTCACTTACATGAAGGCAAAGCATTTTAAATGCCATGTGTAGTATAGAACTACAGACCCAAACACCAAAATCCAATATCATAAATACTTCTAATTATAATTCAGGCAAATTTATCTTATACCATAGCAATTTTTGAGGGCAATTGGCATTTTCTTCCGGTATGTGACCTTCTCTTCAGTAGCTCTTGACCTTTGGAGTTTTGATTTTTTTTTTTTTGTACTACTTTTTAAAAAAATTTCAGCATGCTATGGGGGTACAAATGTTTAGGTTACATATATTGCCCTTGCCTCACTCCACCAAGTCAGAGTTTCAGACCTGTGCATCCCCCAGACGGTGTGCATCGCACTCATTATGTATCTATATACCTATCCCTCCTCCCCGTTTCCCATCTGTCTGATGCCCGATGACTTTATTACTATCTGTACACTTAGGTGTTGATCAGTTAAAACCAATATGATGGTGAGTACATGTGGTGCTTATTTTTGTGAGATACTTCACTTAGTAGAATGGGCTCCAGCTCTATCCGGGATGATACAAGAGGTGCTATATCACCATTGTTTCTTGTAGCAAATATTGCTCTATGGTATACATATACCACACTTATTAATCCACTCATGTATTGATGAGGACTTCAGTTGTTTCCACATCTTTGCAGCTGTGAATTGTGCTGCTAAAAATATTTGAGTGCAGATTTTTTTTTATAGAATGTCTTTTGTTTTTTTGGGTAGATGCTCAGTAATGGTATTGCTGGATCAAATGGTAGTTCTACTTGTATCTCTTTTAGGTATCTCCGTATTGCCTTCCACAGAGGTTGCATTAGTTTGCAGTCCCACCAGCAGTGTATGAGGGTTCCTATCTCTACGCATCCACGCCAACATTATTGTTCTGGGACTTTTTGATAAAGGCCATTCTCACTGGAGATAAGTGGTATCTATCTCATTGTGGCTTTGATTTGTATTTCTCTGATGATTAGAGATGTTGTGTATTTTTTCATATGTTTGTTGGCCATTATTCTGCCGTTTTTTTAAAAGTTGTTATGCCTTTGCCCACTTTTTGCTAGGGTTGTTTGATTTTTTTCTTGTTGATTTTCCTGAGTTCTAGATAGATTCTAGTTATCAGCCCTTTATCAGATGTGTAGCATGCAAATGTTTTCTCCCATTCTGTAGATTGTCTGTTTGCTCTCGTGATAGTTTCTTTGGCTGTGTAGAATCTTTTTAATTTGATCAGGTCCCATTTATTCATTTTTGGTGTTGCTGTGATTGCCTTTGGAGTCTTCTTCATAAATTCTTTGCCTAAGCTAATGTCTAGAAGAGTATTTCCAACATTTTCTTCTAGAATTATTATAGTTTCATGCCTTAGTGTTAAATGTGTTATCCACTGTGAGCAGATTTTTGTGAGAGGTGAAAGTTGTGGATCTTGTTTTAGTCTTCTACATGTGGCTATCCAGTTTTCCCAGCACCATTTATTGAATAAGGATTCTTTTCCCCAGTGTATGTTTTTGTCTGCTTTTCAAAGATTAGATGGCTATATGAGGATGGTTTTATATCTGGGTTCTTAGTTCTGTTCCATTGGTCTGCATCCCTGTTCTTGTGCCAGTGCCATTTAGTTTTTGTTACTATAGCCATTTTTGTGTTTGTTCAAGTATGGTAAATTGATCCCTTATATTTTGTTCTTTTTTCCTAGGATTGCTTTTGCAATCATGGTTCCATATGAAGCATAAAATTATTTTTTCTATATCTGTTAAAATTATGTTTGTATTCTAATAGGGATTGCATTGAATCTGTAGATAAGTTTGGGTAGTATAGACATTTTTAACAATGTTGATTCTGCCAACCCACGAGCATGGTATGGTTTTCCACCAGTTCATGTCCTCTGCTATTGCCTTCCTCAGTGTTTCGTTGTTCTCCCTGTAGAGGTTTTTTACCTCTTTAGTTAAATATATTCCCAGGTACATTATTTTCTTTGTTATTATTCTGAAGGGTATTGAGTCTTTGATTTGATCCTCGACTTGACTGTTGCCATCCAGGAATGCTACTGATATGTGTACACTGATTTTGTAGCCTGAGTCTTTGTTGAATTTATTTATTAATTCCAGAAGTCTCTTGGCAAAACCTTTGGGATTTTCTAGATATAAGATCATATCATCAGCAAAGAGTGTTAAGTTTGATGTCTTCTTTCCCCATTTGTATACCCTTGATTTCCTTCTCTTGTCCGATTGTTCTGGTGAGGACTCCCAGCACTATGTTGAAAAGAAATGGTGACAGTGGGCAATGTTGTCTAGTTCCAGTTCTAAGCTGGAATGTTTTCAATTTTTCCCCATTGAATATGATGTTGCCTGTGGGTTTGTCATTTATGGGTTCTATAATTTTGAGTTTTGTTCCATCTATGCCTATTTTATTAAGAGTTCTTATCATTAAAGGGTGCTGAATTTAGTTTACTGCTTTTTCTGAGTCTATTGAGAGGACGACATAGGCTTTGTTTTCACTTCTATTTATTTGGTGAATCACATTTATAGATTTGTGTATGTTGAACCATGCTTACATCTCTGGAGTGAACCCCACTTTGTCATGGTGGATAATTTTTTTGATGTGCAGCTGAATTCAGTTTGCTAGGAATTTATTGAGAATTTTTGCACCTATATTCATGTGGGGTATTGGTTTGTTTTGTTCTTTTTTTGTTGTGTTCTTTCCTGGCTTTGGTATCAAGGTGATCTTGGCTTCATAGAATGAGTTGGAAAGGATTCCTTCCTTCTTGATGGTATGGAATAATTTCTGCAGTATAGGTATCAGTTCTTCTTTGTAGATCTGGTAAAATTCTGCTGTTAAACCATCTAGTCTTGGACTTTATTTTATGGGACGATTTTTTCATTGCTGCTTCAATATCCTTACTTGATATTGGTCTGTTCAGGAGCTCTATTTCTTCCTGATTAAGCATAGGGAAGTTGTGTGTTTCCAAGAGGTGTGTATTCAGAGGTGATATTTTGCATTTCTGTTGTATCAGTTTTATTATCAACTTATTCATTTCTATTGATAACCTCAATAGAAATGAATAAGTTGATAATAAGTTAGGGTCCTTTTGTTCCTGTTTGTGTTTAATCTAGTGAGAGGGCTGTTGATTTTGTTTATATTTTCAAATGCCTAACTTTTTGTTTCATTATTCTTCTGTAAAGTTCTTTTGTTATTGATTTCATTAGTTCTTTTCTGACCTTAGTTGTTCATTTTCTTCTGCTTGGTTTGGGATTGGTGCTGTTCTTTTATCAATGCCTCGAAATAATTCATTAGATTGTTGGTTTTCAATCTTCTGTCTTTCCTCTGTTAGACTGCTTCATGTATCTGACAGATTTTCATATCTTGTGTCTCCTTTGTCATTTAGTTTAAAGATTCTTTTGATTTCCATCTTAATTTCCTCCTTAACCCAATAACTATTCAGCAGTATGTTGTCTAGTTTCCATGACTGTATTTAGATTTGAATGTTTCTTTCTTTTTCTTTCTATTTATTTATTTATTTTGCTGGAGCCCACAGTTCTGCTGTTTCGGGCTCTTTATCAAAGTAGAGGTCCGTTCAGCTTTCCCAGCTTCCTCAGGACCTGACAAACGGGGCTTCAATTGGGAGCACACTTTTTTTTTTTTTTTTTTTTTAGACAGAGTCTCACTTTGTTGCCCAGGCTAGAGTGAGTGCCATGGCGTCAGCCTAGCTCACAGCAACCTCAAACTCCTGGGCTCAAGTGATCCTCATGCCTCAGCCTCCCGAGTAGCTGGGACTACAGGCATGTGCCACCATGCCCGGCTAATTCTTTCTATATATTTTTAGTTGGCCAATTAACGTCTTTCTATTTTTGGTTGAGACAGGGTCTCTTTCTCAGGCTGGTTTTGAACTCTTGACCTTGAGCGATCCACCCACCTTGGCCTCCCAGAGTGCTAGGATTACAGGCGTGAGCCACCGTGCCCGGGAGCACACTTTTCAATCCATGTGTGAGACCCAAGGGAATAATCAGACAATGGGAGACATAGCTTC